GCATGGTGAAAAGCCATTCTGTCGCTCCCCTCACCTCTGAGAGGTACAGCAAGGTGCCATCTTGAGAGATTATGCATTCCTTAAGACTGAGCTACTCTGGGGTCTTGAAAATAAGGAACAATCATGACTCAGGGAGTCTTGGGAAATCCAGCCACAGTGTCTGTGGAAGGCAGTCAGAAGAGGGTTGATGGAGAGGGGAGAGGGTCTGACGTGGTACCACAGAGAAGTTCAAGGTAAGGGTAGCTATGGCAGCAAAGGTTGTGGTGGTTGGAAAGCTGCATCCTCCCTGGGGAGGGAGGAATCCTATTGCCTGAGGGTCACAGCAGAAACAGAGCACTGAGTGCATGGCTCCCTTGCTACTCAGCCTCCAAGTCCTGCCTCCTGGATACACATGTCAGCTGCCACGTGATCTGAGCCCCCAAGCCCAGACCTTCCAAACTGTATGATTTCTTCCCACCAAACAGTGAGATGAACCGCTGGGCGGGTCTAAAAGCACTGAGAGCAGCAGGCAGAGGTGCTGCGGTCCCCCATGTTTCTCTTTGCGAGTGCAGAACTCAGTGTTCTCTTGGCTCCATTGGTGGGACACACCTAGACTTGGATGCTTGGTGCCTCTGGGGGTCTTGTGTAGCAAGTGGGAACCTGTCCATCCCACATGCCATAAAGCACCCTGTGGCCTGCAGTGGCTCACCTTGCTTTCCAACTGCATTGAGAAGAAGTCCTCCTCTTTATTTCCTGGGGGAAGGGGATGGAATAGGGATTCATGGAAAGAGTGCCAGGCAAGGACAGGGGAGGAGTCTTGGAGGGAAGAGGCAAGGAAAATGAGAAAGACCTTGGGTGGGTCAGCTCACCTTGCCTTTGCGCCTGGGTGGAGAAGAGGTCCTCTTGTTGTTGTTCTCTTGGGTGCTTGGGGTCGGATGTTTGGCAGCTCTGCTACGTATTGGTGGCTTTCTGGCCATCTTCACCCTGTCAATATCTGCCAGTGGTCTATGCCCAGGCCTCCTGACTGGGGTATATATACCCCCTCCCCCACAATGGGTGGTCACACCCTTAGTCATTGTTTGGTCAGTAGCCCACTTCCCTAGCCAGGGCTGGACATCACAAAGCACCATGTAGACACTTCTGGGGGTGGGGAGAGGACGCCAAGATGTTCTAGCTGGGGAAAGGGGGGCATTTTCTTTAGCACTCCTAAAGAACCATTAAACTGACCTGCCATCCCTCCTCATCTCCCCATATCAATTCTGGTGGGTCACACAGCAGGGAGAGGTGTTCCTCCACATTTCCCATGGACACTCAATTCAGAGGCATGTTCTGTTCTCTCCCACTCTTCCTCATTGCCTAGTTTGTATGTTTCCCTACAATCCACTCATGGCACCATGACCATATTTATGTCTGTGCGTATGTGATCATTCCACTCCCCTCCTATAGATTTCTCTTCATAGCTACCACCAGGGAACTTTTCCATCCCACCCCCTTTTCCCAGCGTCCACAGAGGTACCCTTGGATTTTGTTTTCTACTCTAAAAATCACTGCCTTCGGGCTGTCAAACTTCAATGAATAGACTTCCTCCACTGGGTAGCCTCTTCTTGCTTACAGACTGAGGGGGCTGCTTATCTCAGTAAGTAGTAACTCAGGCTTAGGTTTTAACAGTGTAGGAGAGATTCATGTTCCAGAATTCAGATATTTGCATGTAGGAAACTACAAGCCAAGACCAATAGATTCACAAGATAGGACGGAGTTGTGTGGAATTGTTCAACTTTGTCCTTGAGGTTCAGTATGTGACAAATTTTTTAAAAAGTCTCCAGATTGGAAAGAAAAGTAAAGCTGTATTTCTTTACAGAAAATAAGATAGCACATGCAGAAAATTGTATCAATGAAAAATGCTTCTACAGCAAATAATTGAGTTTAGCAATGCTACTGAATGCAAGATCATTGTATGTGTATTTTACTAGCAAAGAACAAATAGAAATTTAAATAATACAATTTAAAATGTCACTAGAAAATAGGAATTAAAAGGGATATATTTACAAAAGATGTAGAAGATTTCTACATTGAAAAGCATAAAACTTTGCAAATATGAATTAATGAACATCTAAATAAATGGAGATAGAAACCTTGCTTATTACTCAGAAGATTGAATATTCTTAAGATGTCAGTTCTTCTTAATACATTGATAGATTCAATGCAATTCAAATCAAAATTTCAAAAGATTTTGTAGAAATTGGCATCCTGATTCTAATTTTCATATAAAAGTGCAAAATACCTAGAACAGCTAAACATGCCTTTAAAATTGAACGAACATGGAGGGTTAACCCTCCTTCAAGAACTATAAACTAAAAGTAACCAAGATAGTATGGAATTGTAGCAATTCCTCAATGGAACAGGAGGAAGTCTAGTTATAGATAAACATGTATATGCATATATAGTCAGCACATTATTAATAAATATGCCAATGAAGATTAAAGGAGACGAAGGATGCTCTCTAAGTCAACAGGGTCTGGAGCAATTGGGTAAACTTTGATCCTTACTGCACTTCTATCTTTACCCATATCTATCTATAGAGATATAGATACCTTTCTGCAGAAAGACAGGCGTTTTAAGGAATTTGCTTATGTGGTTGTGGAGTTTGGCATATCTGAAATTTGTAGGGCAGGCCAACAGGTTGGAAATTCACACAGTGTTTTCTTTTCTTAAAAGTATTTTGCCTTATTTTTGATTAACATGCATAAATTGTACGTATTGAGGTTTGGCATGATATTTTTATGGTGGTCTGGGATTTGAAACCAGGGCTTTGCACTTGCTAGCGCTGCCCCTAGTCATTTTTTGTTTTACTTATTTTTTGCATAGGGTTTCACATTTTTGCCCAGGGTTGGCCTCAGACAGTGATCCTCCTACCTACTGACTCCTGCATGGCTGGGATTACAGAGATGTGCCATCACCACTCAAATTTCACCTGAGGAGGAATGTCCAGACTCTGCCAGGGACCAAGGAGAGCACTCTGAGTGAGGAATGAAGGGACACCCTCCATCAAGGAAAGGAACCCCAGATTCCAACTCTGGCCTTGTGGTAAGCCCTGGAAGGTCCCGGACAGCAGCATGTTCAGCGTGGCCACTCCCTTCACCTCTCCGCCACCTCAGGGAGTGTTGGAAATGTGACTGGAGCAGACGGAAGTCCATAGAAAATATGGATACAGTTATTACCAGGAGCCAAGAACAGGACTCTGAGGAATGAGGGGACACACTCCCTCCATGGAGAGCAGTCCCACAGAATGTATCTCCACCCCTGTGGTCAGCCCTGGAAAGCCCTGGACATCACGGTCACCCATGGTTACCCTGACCAATCCCCTCACCCCTCTGCCACCTAAGGGGAGTCTGGGAGTCTGAGGAGAGCGGACTGAGGTCCGTACAGGACAGGGGTCCAGGCTCCGCCAGGAACCAAAGCCGGGACCCTAAGAGGGAGGGTGGAGGGTCTTGGGAGAATTCCCTTCCGCCCCTCCTGTCAGCCCTGGGAGACCCCGGGCGCCACACCGGATGTGACGTTGCCGGCTTCTAGAAACCTCAGAGGCTGAGGTTGCGCCGCGCTTCAGGTCCGTCCCTCAGAGGCTCAGCTTGTGAAGTGTTGAGGTGAGAGCTAAGGGCGGGCAAAGGAACATCTCACCCAGAGTTAGGGTCCCCAGATAATCTAGCTGCACCCCGGTTGTCAATCTGGCATGCGGGGCGGGGTGGGGAGGGAGGAGTAGAGGAACCTCTAGTCACGGGAGCTCGCTCGCCCCTCCCCCACCCCTCCTCTCGCCCCAGGGAATCCTGGGATTCACAGCTTTGGTGTGAGGAGGAGCAGGTCCGGGCTCTGGGAGGGAAGGAGGGGAGGACTGAAGATGTACGAAGGAAACCCCACCCCCGAATAGAGAGTCCCCAGGTAATCCATCCCTGTCCCGCTTGTCACCCATGTCCCGCATGGGGGTGTCTAGTCACTGGAGCTCGCTCGCCCCTCCCCCACCCTCCTCCTGCCCCAGGAGAGTGGACTGAGGTCCCTACAGGACAGGGGTCCAGGCTCCGCCAGGAACCAAAGCCAGGACCCTAAGAGGGAGGGTGGAGGGTCTTGGGAGAATTCCCTTCCGCCCCTCCTGTCAGCCCTGGGAGACCCCGGGCACCACACCGGATGTGACGTTGCCGGACTTCTAGAATCCTCAGAGGCTGAGGTTGCGCCGTGCTTCAGGTCCGTCCCTCAGAGGCTCAGCTTGTGAAGTGTTGAGGTGAGAGCTAAGGGCGGGCAGAGGAACATCTCACCCAGAGTTAGGGTCCCAGATAATCTAGGTGCACCCGGTTGTCAATCTGGCATGCGGGGCGGGTGGGGAGGGAGGAGTAGAGGAACCTCTAGTCACGGGAGCTCGCTCGCCCCTCCCCCACCCCTCCTCTCGCCCCAGGGAATCGTGGATTCACAGCTTTGGTGTGAGGAGGAGCGGGTCTGGCTCTGGGAGGAAGGAGGGAGGACTGAAGATATACGAAAGAAACCCCACCCCGAATAGAGAGTCCCCAGGTAATCCATCCCTGTCCCTCTTGTCACCCATGTCCCGCATGGGGTGTCTAGTCACTGGAGCTCGCTCACCCCTCCCCCACCCCTCCTCCTGCCCCAGGGAATCCTGGGAGTCCCAGCTTTGGTGTGAGGAGGAGCGGGTCCGGGCTCTGGGAGGGAAGGAGGGGAGGACTGAAGATGTACGAAGGAAACCCCACCCCCAAATAGAGAGTCCCCAGGTAATCCATCCCTGTCCCTCTTGTCACCCTTGTCCCGCATGGGGTGTCTAGTCACTGGAGCTCGCTCGCCCCTCCCCCACCCCTCCTCCTGCCCCAGGGAATCCTGGGAGTCACAGCTTTGGTGTGAGGAGGAGCGGGTCCGGGCTCTGGAGGGAAGGAGGGGAGGACTGAAGATGTACGAAGGAAACCCCACCCCCGAATAGAGAGTCCCCAGGTAATCCATCCCTGTCCCTCTTGTCACCCATGTCCCGCATGGGGTGTCTAGTCACGGGAGCTCGCTCGCCCCTCCCCCACCCCTCCTCCTGCCCCAGGGAATCCTGGGATTCACAGCTTTGGTGTGAGGAGGAGCGGGTCCGGGCTCTGGGAGGGAAGGAGGGGAGGACTGAAGATGTACGAAGGAAACCCCACCCCCGAATAGAGAGTCCCCAGGTAATCCATCCCTGTCCCTCTTGTCACCCATGTCCCGCATGGGGTGTCTAGTCACTGGAGCTCGCTCACCCCTCCCCCACCCCTCCTCCTGCCCCAGGGAATCCTGGAGTCCCAGCTTTGGTGTGAGGAGGAGCGGGTCCGGGCTCTGGGAGGGAAGGAGGGGAGGACTGAAGATGTACGAAGGAAACCCCACCCCCAAATAGAGAGTCCCCAGGTAATCCATCCCTGTCCCTCTTGTCACCCTTGTCCCGCATGGGGTGTCTAGTCACTGGAGCTCGCTCGCCCCTCCCCACCCCTCCTCCTGCCCCAGGGAATCCTGGGAGTCACAGCTTTGGTGTGAGGAGGAGCGGGTCCGGGCTCTGGGAGGGAAGGAGGGGAGGACTGAAGATGTACGAAGGAAACCCCACCCCCAAATAGAGAGTCCCCAGGTAATCCATCCCTGTCCCTCTTGTCACCCATGTCCCGCATGGGGGTGTCTAGTCACGGGAGCTCGCTCGCCCCTCCCCCACCCCTCCTCCTGCCCCAGGGAATCCTGGGAGTCACAGCTTTGGTGTGAGGAGGAGCGGGTCCGGGCTCTGGGAGGGAAGGAGGGGAGGACTTTGTCACCCATGTCCCGCATGGGGGTGTCTAGTCACTGGAGCTCGCTCGCCCCTCCCCACCCCTCCCCCTGCCCAGGGAATCCTGGGATTCACAGCTTTGGTCTGAGGAGGAGCGGGTCCGGGCTCTGGGAGGGAAGGAGGGGAGGACTGAAGATGTACGAAGGAAACCCCACCCCCGAATAGAGAGTCCCCAGGTAATCCATCCCTGTCTCGCTTATCACCCATGTCCCGCATGGGGGTGTCTAGTCTCGGGAGCTCGCTCGCCCCTCCCCCACCCCTCCTCCTGCCCCAGGGAATCCTGGGATTCACAGCTTTGGTCTGAGGAGCAGCGGGTCCGGGCTCTGGGAGGGAAGGAGGGGAGGACTGAAGATGTACGAAGGAAACCCCACCCCCGAATAGAGAGTCCCCAGGTAATCCATCCCTGTCCCGCTTGTCACCCATGTCCCGCATGGGGGTGTCTAGTCACAGGAGCTCGCTCGCCCCTCCCCCACCCCTCCTCCTGCCCCAGGGAATCCTGGGAGTCACAGCTTTGGTGTGAGGAGGGGAGAGAGAGACCTGTATTCTGGGAGGGAATGAGGGAAGACCTGAGGGTGGACAGCAGAGAAACAAAACATCCCTCCCAGAGTTAGGGTCCCCAAATACTCTAGCTGTGCTCTTGTCTCCCTGGCACACGGGGGAGAGGGGAAGCTGGGAGAGCGGTGGTGGGGAGGGGAGGGAGGAGTTGAGGAACCTCTAGTCACAGGAGTATGCTCACCCCTCCCCCACTACTCCTTCTGACCCAGGAACTCCTGGTAGTCACAGCCTTTGTCTGAGGAAGGGACAGGTCCGGGCTCTGGGAGGGAAGGAGGGGATTAGTGAAGGTGGACAGAGGAAACCCCACCCCCAGATAAAGGGTCCCCAAATAATTCAGCCCTGTCTCTGTTGTCACCCCGTACCACATGGGGTGTCTAGTCACAGGAGCCTGCTCACCCCTCCCCTACTTCCACCTTCTGCCCCAGGGAACCCTGGGAGTCACAACCTTGGTCTGAGGAGGAGAGGGGGAGGCCAGGGGTCAAGAGGGGACCAGGAGAGAGCTAAGGGTGGATGGAGGAAGCCCCCCTCCAGATAGTGGGTCCCCCAAATAACCCAGCCCTACCTCTGATGTTGCCCCTGCACCCCAGGGAGTGTTAAGTCATAAGAGTGCACTCATTAAACCCCACCCCTTCTTCTGCCCCAGGGATTCCTGGAAGTCACAGCCTTGGTCTGAAATCTGTGAACAGAATAGGGTCCAGTTCTGTGAGGGCTCCAGGTAAGACTTGAAGGTGCACAGAGGAAGCATAACCAAAGAGAGAGGTTTCACCAAATAATCTAGTCCTGCCTCTGTTGTTTGCCCCCACCTCTCCCACAGGTCCCATGCAGAGCTTATAATCAGGGACTGCCATTGCCCTTCTTCCACCCCCTCCTTCTGCCTCAGGGGACAATAGGAATCAGAGTTTTCCACTGAGGACGGTGGGGAGGAGAGGCCAGGGCTCTTTGAGAGTTGGGGGTAAGAACTGGACAAAATAAACTCCCCCAACATTAAGGATCCCAAAGAATCCATCCACACCCTTACTGTTAGACATGCACAAGGAGGAGCTTCTAATCAAGTGCTCACCCCTTCCCCTTCCATATCTCATTTTTTCCTCTCACGGGACCATGGGAGTCAGAACCTTGGTCTGAGGGGAACAGACGAGGCTTCACTCTTATTGATAAAGCTGGACAAGGGGCTTCTATTCAGATGACCACCTCTCCCTTTCCACACCTCCTTTTTCCCCCTCAAGGGACCATGGGGATCGGAACCTTGGTCTGAGGGGGACACATGAGACTGGCAGATGACAATTCTAGGTTCTAGTTGGAGGCAATGGAAAGGCCCTGAAGGAAGATGGATGGGTGGCAAATTCCCAGTTTACCTCTGCTGTTTGCCCTGGGTGGCCTAGGCACTGTGTCTAGGAGGTTCCCTAACTCTTGTTTTGTGGCGTCAGAAACCACTGTGGGTCTTGGTCAGAGGGGATGGGGCCTAGACAGTGAGGTAGAGAACCTTAGACTCCAGGAGAAGGAGAACCCGTGGAAGTTCTACACCCGCTGTCAGTCCGGGGAATCCCCATGCAGGGTGACCAGGACGGTGAAGTATAACTTTTGCATGAAGGAACAGAACCTCAGGTGAACAGTGTGGAGACATCCACTGCTGGCAGTCAAGCTGAGGACTTAGTAAGGACTGAGATGACCTGGAAGGGCCCAGCAACACACTGCCTCCAGTACTGGACTGTCCCACACACTTTGACCAGAAAGGTGATTTCTAACATCTGTATTCGGGTCTGAGAGGTTAAGGCTTTGGTAGAAAGAATAGTGCCTCAGGAGAGTGAGAAAGGGCCCAGGTACTGTCAAGAGACAAGGCAGAACTGAGGGTCCCGGCACACAGGACACATGGGTTCCAGCCCTACCCCTGCTTTCAAGCAGAGTCATGGCCTACAATCCAACTCAACAATCTGAGGGAGAGGGACACAGGTCTTTAGAGGGTTGGGATCATGCCTGGGCTCAAGGGGAGAACTCAAAGGGACGAATGAAGAAACTTTGCACTCCAGATCAGAGGGGGACCTCTATCCTCATTTTAGCAATGGCCAGAGAGGCCAGATGCAGGGCCCCTTCCCTTCTGCCTCTGAGGTATCAGGGAGGAGAGGGCCTTATTCTTAGGAGTGTGGCTTCTGAGGAGTGTCCCAGCAGGACCCTGGAGGAACAAGAAGACCCCTGATCTGAGACATGAAAAACCTATCATTCCTGTCAGGCCAGGGTGGCTCCAGGCAGGACTCTGGGAAGGAGATGCCACCCCTGCCTTCCTATTCAGAGATGGGTTAAGGGTCATGGAGATGGTTGCATTGGCCTGCAAGATAGATGCACAGGTCAGCAGAGGGGAAGGGCACAGGTCTGGTGAGGAGTAAGTATGAATACTTTGAGGACAGGAGGACCCCTGACCCCTGCTACTTCTGTCAGCCTGCAGGGGTGTCCAGATGAGCTTCATTATCTTTTCTCTCCCAGGTCTCAGGGAGCTTAGGGCCTGGAGTAAGAGGAGACACCAGGACGTGAGAGGGAGCCAAGCCTGATCATCAGAAGGAGCTGTCCAGGATCTGCCAGGAGTCAAGGTGAGGAGAGAGGGAGTCCCCTTACCGAACACACATGACCTAAGTCCCTCACCTCCCCATTCCACCAGCTAGAAGAAAACCTATGGGGTGTAGGGGGATTAGGATGCAGTTCTCAGTGAGGACAATCACGTGCTCCTTCTCTCCTCCAGGCCTGTGAGTCCCCATCCCCAAGCTCCTGCCCACCCTCCTGCTTGCTGTCCTCAAGGAAAGTCATGATGCCTCATGGTCAGAAGAGCCAGCAACCTAAGCTGGAGGGGAATGCTCAGGCCCAAAGAGAGGCCCCGGGCCTGGTGGATGCGCAGGTCCCTGTGGCTGAGGAGGAGGGGGATACTGGCAACCCTTGTTTCTCCTCTACTCTTCTGATACCAGTCACTCCAAGAGATGTGCCTCCTGCTGGGACACCGTGTTGTCCCCAGAGTCCTCAGAGAGCCACCTGTCCCCCCGCTAGCTCGGTGTCCAGTCCAGGGAGCCAATTCAACCAGGGCTCCAGAAGCCGTGGAGGGGAAGGTCTGGTCCCCCGGAGCAGGCTGGTAAGCCCTGAGTCCTTAATGCGAGAAGCAATATCCTTGGTGCCATCCCTGCTCCTCAAGTATCAAATGAAGGAGCCAATCACCAAGGCAGAGATGCTAGATTATGTCAGGAGAAGTCACCAGGATTACTTCCCTGCAGTCTTCAGCAGAGCCTGTGATTGCTTGCATCTGGTCTTTGGCATTGAAATGAGGGAAGTGGACCCCTCCAGCCACTCCTATATCCTTGTCACTTCCCTGGGGCTGACATATGATGGGTTGCTTAGTGATAAGCAGGGCATTCCCAAGACGGGCCTGCTGATCATCACCCTGAGTATCATCGTTGTGGAAGGCAACTGTGCCTCTGAACAGGTTTTCTGGGAAGGGCTGAGTATGATGGGGGTTTATGCTGGGAGGGAGCACTACTTCTATGGGAATCCCAGGAAGCTCATCACTGAAGATTTTGTGCAGGAGCAGTACTTAGAGTACCGCCAGGTCCCCAACAGTGATCCTGCTTGCTATGAGTTCCTGTGGGGCCCAAGGGCCTATGCTGAAACCAGCAGGATTGAAGTCCTGAAACACTGGGCCAAGTTCAGTAGACGTGTTCCTAGGTTCCTCCAATCCCTGAATGATCGGGCTTCTAGAAATGAGGAAGAGGGGGCCCAAGCATGAATTGTCCTCCGCAAGAACCACTGTGGGTCCAGGTGACATTGTTCCGTAGCCTGGGCCACATTCAGTAGCTTCTTCTGCCCCATGTGAAATGAAGCTCATTGTTCATTTGTGTTTGGAGAGAGAAGTCAGTCTTCTCAGTAGTGGAGCCCCAGGTAGGCTGAGGGCATAATATTGTAGAAAAATTTTTGTCTTCCTGTTTATTTGGGAAACGTTGAACTTGACCTTTGTTTCCTTTGGAAGTTTTCTGATGTCCCTTTTAATGGAAGGTTTACTTAGCTTCAGAATGGAAGGTTATGAAGGACAGTAGTCACACATTTATTGCTGTTAATATAGTTTAAGAGGGATTCTTGTTAATTTTTCAACCAACTGGGAAACCCATGTAGTTTTGTGACTTGGAGCAGGGTAACATGGCAGTGTGTGGCTATTTCCTTAGATGTGAGTAAGGACAGAACACAAAACAGCGTGAAGAGTAAGAGAAAGTAAGATCAATTCTAGCTTTCTCTTTGGTCTTCCTCGTGACGTTAAATAATATGTGTATTTACCTGGATTTGCTTGGCTACCTGAGAATATAGATGAAACTATAACTTAATAAATAATTTCACAACTCACTGTCTCATTTATTCTTCAAACTTCCGTTGAACCCCAGCTCTCTGGGAGGCCTTTGAGTAGTGGTGAAGTTACTAGTAGACCAGGGCATCCAGGCCCACCACCCTTACTTTAGAACAGCAGTGTCTAGGAGCCTCAGCCATAAGGGAGGTGTGGATAGGTGGGGCCCAGGCGAGAGTGAGTGAGTGTCAATGCCCTGAGCCAAGGCAGTTCTGGGGCTTCAGGAAACCACAATTCCTTCCATGGGATTTGAGTGTAATGAGGTTATAAGGTGACCATGGAAGGATCCTCGATGCTGTGACTTAGGCTGAGGGTGGAAAACTGCTCTGCGCAGTTCCTTTTGCATGCTGGGTATTGCAGAGGGGGAACAACCTCCTGGGGCAGATATGAGAGGTGCTGCTAAACACGGCACCAAAAGTAGCTGATCTTCCCCATTGTCTACAGGGATTTCCTAAGAGAAGGGTAGTTCTCTCATGAGGTGTGGCCTCACTTGGCTTCCACGTGGTGGCGTTCTGCTTGAGTCACAACAGGCTATTTAAATGATTTTTTAATATGTTATCTTGATTGTATTTGCCATTTACAAGGCAACGCTAGATTTTGGGGTGGTGATGAAATGAATGAAAATGTTTTTGGAGGAAACAGCCTCTGGGTGGGAAGGAAAGAGCTGGTCCTTGACTCCAACTCTAGGAGTTTCCCCTACAGGAAGAGTCCTTCACACCCAGATTCTCCAATGAGTCCTCTTAACATGAACATTAACTCAGTTTTATTCATGGTATTTCATTTGGGGTGATTACCTAGTCCTTGTACCACTGATGTGCATCGTCTCTGAAGTGTCCTGGAGAACAATGACCTCATGAACAACATTCCACTTTGGGAGGGGCTGGGATCAAATACTGGGAGAAGTAACAGCCACTGCCCTTCACTAGTTTCAGCACACGTAAGGCACTGCCCAAGTTGGCTTTACATTCACAACAGATGTCCCAGCATTCCTACTGGACAGGGCTTATTGTGAAGAATCACTGAAAGAAGAGTCAGGAGGTGGGGCTTCATGGGACAGAGACCAAATGTCAATGCTCTGAGCCAAGGTCTTTGGGACTCCTTTGCTCTGGCTCTGGGGTTTCAGGGAGTCGTTGACTAGATTTAGAAGAGAAGAAAATAGTAATGATACTGTGTTGTCTTGACATTTATGAGTTGTGTTTCAGGAAGGAAGCAGCAGGGATTTGAATACATAAGTAAACAAAGATGAGGGCAGAAGGATTAGTTGATTGGGCAGTATGCTGGTCATTTGACCAGTTGAGTGGTCATTTAGACCAGTTGAGTGATAGAACGTTCACTGTGGAGAAAGTGAGGCGAGAAACTACAGATAGCACTTTTAAGTAACTGGAAAGTGGATTTGTTGTGAAAGGAAGCATGAAGTGGGCGCCTGAGCCCTTGAGAAGTGAGCTCTGTGATGGCAGGGTCTTCCCCTGTATTTTTTTCACCGCTGACCTCCAGCACTTGGAACTTTGCCCAGAATGAGGGAGGTGTTCAATTAATATTTTCAAATGAGTGAATGGTGCTGTAGATGAAGGGTAATCCAGAGAAACGCTGTGTCAATGACATCTAGCAAAACTGTGTCCCTTCCTTGTTCCTAGGCAAAGTGTCACAAGGTGTCAAAGCTTCAACAAGAAGAGAGGGGACCTCCCAGAATCACATCTCCAACATAAAGTTAAAAGTCCCTACAGCAGCCAATTTTCTCCAGGAAAGTGTGATGCCAGTTCTTACGGTTTTAGAATGAGATTAAACGAGAAATGGAGCTATGAAATGCTATGACAGAGAAAGATTTCCCTTTATTATATGCATTATTTGCAGAATCTCTCTTTTGGAAATAGTCTGGAGACATGGCCCAAACTCCCATGACATCCAGCAGCACAATTTGACATCAATAACACGACCAGAAAAATTGTGAATCAGAGTTGTCTACTTTTAAGTTAGCTACAGACTCCAAGTTGTCATTGATGCTGGAATCTGTCTCCTAGAGTCAGTAACCCATATCTCCTGAAGTTGATTCTCGTGGTGTAAGCTGTTTTAATAGTCACAGGCAGTAATGATAAGGGCCTAGAGGAAAACTGGCAGTGCTTATAAAAGCCAGGAGCCAATTTGAGAAATGCTAATAAAATGGAAAGTGGCAGGGTGTGGTAACTACTTGAACACTCCCAGATCATGGCTTTGGTGACTGTGAGGATGATGTCATCATCGCTGAAGTGAGAGACACAAGGAGGGTATTAACTTGCATTGGATGGGGCAAGAGTGAGATGGCAAGTTCATTTTGAACTTGTGTTGGAGACGTCTGTGGAAGGTCCAGTTAGAGATGTCAAGTGGATTGTTTGTTATATAGGTATAAGTTTGGCAGGGGTCGGGGAGGAGGTTCTAAAGTTTAGAAGTGAAGAAAGGTTACAGACTTCAGAAGGGACCCTGGGTACCTACCATTTGGAAGATTGTAAAAGAAGTGACAGCCCCAAAAGGAGTAAGAAAGAACTAGTATTGTAAAGAGCAGAGTTTTGAAGGACAGAATGGTCAGCAGTATTCAATACTACCAAGCTGTCCAGTAAGAAGAATACTAAGACTAATAGTGGATTTAGCAACCTGAAAGTCACTGATGACCTAGACAAAAGTAGCTTCTGTGGAGGCCAGAATAATGGAGGAAATTAATAAGTAAGTAGGAGATTGACAAGTGGTGGAAACCGTGAGCACACATACATCTTTCCAGAAGTCTGATGGTGGAGGGAGAAGGGGAAAGATGCAATCAATGATTGCTGAAGGATAAAGGATCATAAGAGGAGTCATGATGGTAACAAAAATGTAGATGTATGTCCAAACTCACAAAATTGTATATGCTGTGTACAGTATTTATTTTTTGCATACCAATTTTGCTTCAGTAAAGCTGGATAAAGAGAAAAACTTAGGCCATATATTTATAACTTTAAAGACTCAAGGCTAATGAGGAAGATATTAGAGAAAATTTGAGAGAGAGAGAGAGAGAGAGAGAGAGGGAGCGAGAGAGAGATGAGAAGACAGAGAAAGGCAATAGGTGTGTGAAGAATTGGAAATGTGCTTACGTGAACAGGAGGAGACACATCACTGAGGGTGAAGGTAAAGTGGTCAGAGAAGACTTCATAAATTAATAAGGGGTCACTGTCAGTAGAATGAGGGATGTAATTTCTTGCTTCTAACTTTTGACTGATTGAGAAAACATTGAAATCGTGTATATTAATGGCTACCCCATAATATTGAATGCATACCTGTATTGCACACTGTTTAAATCAAGTCACAACATATCTACCTGCTCGCTGATCACTTTATTATGGTGAAAACTTTCAAAACCCTTTCTTCCAGCCTTCTGAAGTGTACTGTGTAATTGTTCTCTATAGTTCCCCTACTAAGCAATAGCCCGCCAAAACTTCTTACTCCTATCTTACTGCAACTTAGTACATGCTGATAGCCTTTTCCCCAAGACAAGTGCAGCTACTGATGGCCTGAATTTTGTCAGGAAGCATGTCAACTTTGTTTTCTGTAGGCCTTAAGGATGACAGTTGATTTGGAGGGTTGAGGAAAGCAGAAAAGGTTTGAATTAGTGATTAGTGAATAAATACTATCAGGGATTTTTTGGATAGCTTCTTAGCAATCATATCAGACGTTTTTGAGCTTGACTCTCAGAGCTTAACTTCCAACTCTATCTGCTGGATGACAACTGGGGAAGTAGATCACTATGATCAGGGAAAATGGTTCCCTGGTATCAATGACTATTCAACTGAGGATGAACCCTGATTTAATAATGAGGCCAATCATGGTTGATTGATTTTCCCCAGCTGGGATCAGGGTAGATTGTAAAACCAAAGAAATTATATTGTGGGCTATTGGTCCATCCAGGATTGTGGTTGTGTTGAGTGGATGCAGAGAAATGAGTGCAAAGTAATGAAGGGTGCTGCAGACAGAGTTGATCCACCATGATCAACCAAGCCTCACTGGTCCACCAGGAATGAGAGCCTTGAAGACTTGAAGGAAGTTGCTGGACTGGGACTAAAAGAATGCATCTCAGGACTGTAGGTCTATCTGAGATCAAGGATAAGTGAAGTAGAAGAAAAGGTGTGAGAGAGTTCAAAGTGTCAGAGCACTGATCAAGGAATGTCATTTGACATCTGCTGATAACAGCTTACCTAGGTCTTCAGCATCTGAGCTTTCAGACAGTGTTCCACATCTGTTTGCACTACTGACAATAGATGACAACTCCTTAGATTCTAGTATCAGGTAATATTTGGCAGCAGGAGTGTAGGGAGTGTGTGACTAGGCTTAGAATTTCCAAGTCTTTTTGAGATAGGGAAGGAATAATAAATTTGGGAGCCAGAAGAGTAAGA